CAGGAGAGGGGCCACAAGGGGCTGCAGGGGCTATGGACCCTGTCCAGGGCTCAGGGATGCTGTTTTCGCGGGGGCTGGGAGCTAGAGTCTGTTTTTACAATTCCCTCCACAGCCAGAGCTGGAGAGTCTCAGGATGCTTCTGCAACACTCATCACCCTCCCATGGCCTGGCCTGGGCTCAGGGAGAGCACAGATCCCCCCTTGTTTCAACAGGAAAACAGAATCACAGAGCTCCACAGTCCTTCCTCTGTTATCCTGCTGGCTGTGAGAGATGTGATGCTTACGGCTACAGTTAGTGGTGGCCTTGGCAGTGCTGTACTCAATGATGTTAGAGGTCTTTTCTAACCTGAATGACTCCATGATTTCTATGTTTTTCATGATCCAACATCCACCAGTACTCTTGCCAAATGTTGTTTTCAGGATTCCTGCAACTCCATGGCCTAACCTGCAGATGTCCCCTGTACCTCTAGCTGATGACAACAGGCGGCAGAGTGAGCAAGGACAATGTAGTCATTACTCTGGTGCTCGGCAGCCTCAGGTCCTGCCCATCTCACACCCAGCACCAAATGGTTTTATTTTATTTTATTGTGGCTAAACCGGTCATGCTGTGCTGCAGCTGCTGGACAAGCCCTGCTCAGCCCCAGGCCAGTTGCTGCTCAGTACTGAGGACATTGTTGGGGAAACAAAGGAGTTGTGGCAGAAGCATAATTTGGCTGTCCTGGGAAGTACCACCACATTTCTGTGAGGGCCACATTCCAACATGGCATCCAGCCACATCCTGCTCTTTTAGACTCCTGGTCACAAAGTGAGGCTTTCATTGGTGCCCCAAATTTGTCTTGGAAAATTGCATGGACTGCAGCAATTTATTTCTGCCTTGCTGTGTGCTTAGAAACTGTTGGAGTCTTTCTGCTGATATTTGCCAAAAATATTTATCTGGAAGCACATCCTGGTGTGCCTGTAGATTTCAGTCCAGGGATTTCAATGCAATTTCACAAGCTGCTCCTGATGATCCTATTGGAGCAGTTGTCCTGGAGAATCAAAGATGAACAGTCACAGAGGATGTAGACTAAGGATCCATCTACATCAGCCTTGATACCTCTAGATGTGGCCACAGCAGACCCCCTGAAGAGACAGATCAATATTTGTACTGCACCCTGGAGTGTGCTCCCAGCCTCCAACCATTCTCATTTTCCAGATCTTCTCAAGCTTATCGCCTTGAAATCCAAGCTCAGACTCAAAGAAATTTCCTTGTGCTCACCATATCCCTTGGCAAGGAGCTCCTCATGTGAAGAGCTGCCTCCCTCTGTTCCTTTTGAACCTTTCTCTTGCCCACTCCATTGAATAATCCGTGGTTCCCTCTCTGGTGCAGACAGTGAGTATTCGCTTTGTCCCTCTTTCTAGGCCACTTATCATCTTGCAGACTTCAATTCTCATGTGGAAAGTTGCAATTCTTCTTGAAAATACTTCTTCTCATCTGAGATCTTGCTTGGAGCTTCACCCTGGGATCTGTGGCCCCAGTCATTTTCTTTCTGTTTCCAACTGGTTTGCTCACAGTTAAACCCAGTTTCCCACATTAGTGATCCAGCAGCTCCCAGGAGCACTGTGATAGAGTGATCCCCCAGACATGACTCCAGCCCAGGAGGAGGTGTGGTGGAGCAGGCTACCCTCAGGGCTGAGCAGACGTTTCCTCCCACATCCCCAACCTATCCTGGTGATGGATCCAAAGATACTGTGTTTGGTTTCTATCTATAGCTGAAGCACACCATAAGGCAAAGGTTTTACAGACTCCACAAATAGCCACTATTTAGGATGTATAATATGGAGGAGGTTTTAGAAATCAAAATATTTAGAGGTTTGCATTATTTGACTTGGTAGGAAGGAGCAAGAATACAGAAGGAACAAAGTTGAGGAAAACAGTGAATAAGGGAAATAACAGAGGTGTCGAAACCTCCAGGAATTCCTTTTGGTTGACTAGAAGCAGGAAATACAGCACGGTGAATCTGAAAGGAGAGAGAATTAATTGACAATATTGAGGCACATTTATATTCCTGCTATAAAATACTGATTTTTCAAAACAAATCTTGGCATTTTGATCAAACCTGTAGTTGAATGTTGTGGAGCATCCAGAACATTCAATTAAAGCTGCTCTGAGCTGGGCTGTGTTTATGTGAGCCATCAGCGAGGAGGTTCCAACTCATTCCTCAGTCTGTTCTCCTCCTCTCAGTTTTATTCTGATCCCTGTGTGGAGATGTGTCAGAACAGTGTAGGGTTGGTCTCAATGGGAATTTGTGCAAGTTTGTTTCTGAATGTGTTGGTAGAAATAGAAGGAGCAGGAGATGGAAGGAGTAGATGTTGGTGACACCTGATCTTGCAGGACTTTTCCAACATTAATTATTCTATGGTTCTGTGATTCTGTGACTCACACTGAGCAGTTTATTAGTACTGCTCAGAGAAGACTGTGACAGGTTTAGAGGTTGCCACTGGTGATAACTGGCCACAAAAATGTTGGAGTCTCCTGACCTCCCTCCCCACTTCAGCCATATTTATATTATTTTCTTGGGAAAAGATAAAGTTACAGTTGATGTCATTTACAGGTTAGGTGGAGTTTGATTGACTTTAGTTAGTAGTATAAATAGACGTGAGAAAAGTAATATGTATTTCTGAGTTAAGCAAAGTTCAGCTTTTGATTTCCATCTAGATCACTCCTGTGACTTAGTTTCCATTAGCTGCATTGTTTTCCATGGAGTCTATCCACAACACTGCTGTGTCACTCCATCTTTTGTTTTATATTTGCTTTGATTTCAACGGAGAATTACTGCACTGCCTCTGTGTTGCTCCATCCTTTGTTCCATGTCTCCCTTGGAGTGGCACACCAAGCTCCATCAGCATTCCTGCTCCTAAGCTGTGCAGGCAGTTTGTCCCTGTCCTTGCACTCCTTCTTGCTGAGCTTTGGGTTTCAGTCTCCTCACACCTTTCTTGTCCCACTCTGTGCAGTGTGGGGGGAGTGGATCCATGATGGTGGTAGGACTTCATACTCTTGGAGGTACCAGGTTTCATCCCAGTATCTGAATGAGCTCTGGAACAGAGAACAAGGCAAGTCATGCAGCAGGAAGGATCCCAGAGGAATCCTGAGCTTGTCAGCTGTTTGGAGCAGGATATTCTGAGTCTTCTTCACAAGTAAAACCTCAGCCTTGATTCTGACTGTCTCAACTGACCCTTACTTGGGGAGTTTAACCCCTTAGCAGGAGCTGGGATTAAAGTGAGCCAATCCATGGAGAAAGAGCTTCAGAGAAGGGGACGGATGTGCCAAGGCTAAGCTGGGGACTGGGCTGTAAAGGCAGCAGAGAATCCATGGGCTGTATGGAGCCTGCCTTCCTGCTGTGGGAAGGGGCAGGTATGTCTCTGCTAAGGAAATGTCTTTCCAGAAACCCAGCAACATGCTGTGTGCTCCCAGAGCTCTGTGGACAGGTCCTCCTCAACTGCCCACTCCTCAGGCTTGTAGCTGCACCTCCCTAGCACCAAGGCATCATGTGAGGTCTCACCCAGGCTGTTTTATTCATGCTTAGTAACAGAGTGTTGTAGTGAGAGAAGAAGCTTTGTGTAAAACAAACTCCACCATGGCAGCACCCTGCACCCTTCAATGAGTCTGCCTCACTTTTCCAAGGAGTTCAGTCTCCTGAGATGTGCTGATTACCTATCACACATGCACATATGCCCTGGAGCACTTCGGAGCCCCAGGCCTGCAATCCACCCTTCCAAGCAATATCTTAATTTCCCTTTGATTTCCTCTTCTGGCTTCCTACAAGGAACCCCACTTTGTGTGGGGGATTCTATTTTGTGATCATCCTCCTCCATAGAGGAGCCAGACCCCTTTTGTTACTGGACCATCAGGAAAGGCAGCCTGCTCCTGTGGCTTTCCCATTATGGCTGTGGTTGCCCAGCACCCAGACACATTTCCTAGCACCATGGAGACTTCGCTCTTCCTCCACTCTCCTGAGGCTTTGTCCACAAACCTTTGCCTGGAAAACAGCAGAGCCCTTCTGGAGGGATGTAACATTTCCAAAAGTTTTTCTGACAGTGCAGAGACACCTTTCCTATCCCAAGCAATATGTGCTAAATCAGCCAATCTTTTCTCTGTGTGTGTTTGGCAGCTGGGACAATGACAGAGCAGTGTCAGGAGGGTGCTAGTGCTACCCTGATAAAACCAAATAACCATCTTTGTCAGCTTTCCTCTGCTAACATAGTCATCAGCTCCTAAAGTTCTCTGTGGGCAACAGTGGCCGATTCCCATGTCCATGAAGAGTTGAATACTATTTTAACTGTCACTAGTATTTGAGAAGTTGTGATGTAGCAGAAGCGGTTCCCTAAAGACTTGTTGCAAGACATACTCAAGGACCTAAGAGAAGCCCAGGTCTGGAACTGCACCAAGCTCCACCCTCTGCTCTGCACATTTATGCACCGATGGCCTTCAGAGTCCCACGGAGGAAGCCCACATTGCAAGTGGGATCCAGCATGGCTGGGTGGGCACATGGGTGGTCAGCCTGACTCTCAGACATTCCCTGCTCTAGTTGCTGTGCAGAGGTGAGGTCTCCTGCTTGTCCATGCTGTAGATGTTCTGGGAAACACAAGTGCCTGACAACCATGGTTGGCCTTCATCCACTGCTGTGACTTCTAGGCAAGAGGTCCACCTACTGATCTTCCAAATTACTAATTCTGGGTTTTCTGCAGAGCCCTTAGGTTAGGGGAAATGAAATGACAGGTCATATCCTGTTCTCTGTCCTCTCATAGTATCTTATCACCCATAGTATCGTACCCTGTGCCATGTCAGGGCGCTGCTGTCATCAGGGCTCTGGCCAGTTTCCTCTGCAGGGCTGTGTGGTATCCTTGACACTGCACTTTTTCCATTGTGTCATGGCTTTCAGCAATGTTTCCATCCTTGGTTCCTGTCTCCCTATATAAAGAGGGCTGAACCCAGGAATCCCACACCAGGCACAGTGACGGACACTGCAACAGTCCAGCTTCACTCCTACAATTCACCTCCATCCAACAAAACCATGAAAACCTTCACAGCAGCCCTTTCTGTACTTTTTGTGGTTGTCTTCTGCTACCAGGCCACCTCTTCGCCAAGTGAGTCCAATCTCTCCTCTCCAAGGAGCTGTCTCCTCTTTCTGTCTGCTGTATAAGGTCTAGTAATGCTTGGCAGCTCTCTCTTACGAGCATCTGCTGTAGGAAAGGAGAGGCCTGTCTTACCTTGGCTCCCTGATGGGAAGATGGCTGTGGTGGGAGCCCACTGTGGGAGCAGCACTTCCTCCAGTGGGAATCTTCTCATCTTCTGACCCTACTTCTCCCCGTTGGCACTTTTCCTGGTCTGATGTAACAGAAAACTTCTCTTCCAGTTTCTCTCAGCTTTGGTCCCTGCTGTGTTGCGTACATCACCAGACCATTGCCCTTGAGCCGTGTGGTAAAGTATGAGCGTACGGGCGACCACTGCTCTCTACCAGCTGTGATGTAAGTAGATGTCAAGCCCTGCTTCTGGTGACCCTGCTTGTCCTGAGAGTGTGAGGGAACCCCACATCATACCTCATCCTGACATGGAAAAGCACTGGGCAGGGCTCTCCCATGTGAGGAGAGCAGCCTGGGAACATGTCAGAGGGCAATCCCACATTCCAGGCAGCCAGTTTGTGGACCTCCTTATTAGATTTGAGCCAAAAGAGCTTTTGCTGGTCACCCCCCTCACCCCAGGTAGTGGGACCCAGCCAAGATGGTGAGATGCTGGGACAAAGTGGTTTAAGTGCAGAGAGCAGGACACCTGTAAGGACATGGAGCCACCCTCACCTCATTTCCCTGTGGTTGTTTTGCAGCCTGTAGAGGTATCTGGTGGGTGTCACTGTTGGCATGGAGCAGGTGGTCCCACTCTCCTCTCTGTCTTCCTTTCCTTCTCCTCTCCTCACTGGATTTCCTTTTCCAGATTTACCACCATCCAGGACAAGCTGGTCTGTGCCAACCCTAATGACAAGTGGGTCAAGGACATAAGGAATCAATTAAAGGACAATAAGCACAGTGGATGAGCAATACCCTGCTCTCTCCAAGCACCTCTCTTCAGCAAGGACGTGCTCTCATGGACACCTCGAAGACATATTCTATTTTCTCATTGCCTGGGAATTTGGCAGAGTATTCAACTCAGTCTTTAGCTCTTTTATGGAAGGTTGTGCAAAGGCAGTCTTAATTTATTTGACATTTTCAGTGAAACTTTTCGTTCTCCTTTGTACTGAAGATGTTAAAGTTTTTTTTTTTTATAATAAAAAGGAGCAAAATTTGCAACTTCTCCCAGTGGTTCTTGGGATTCAGAGACTGGGGTGTGTAGCAATGGCTGGAAGGGGGTCAGGGCTGACACTCGAGGGTTTATGGGTGATGGGGTGACACCTGGCTGTCCCCCAACCCCTCTGTGCATGCAAGGGAGAGCACTGATCCTGCCTGTCCCGCCTGCCTCCTGCCGCGGCACGTTCCCAAAATCCCGACTCTTTGCAGTGGGTGCGTGTCACGGGCGATGTTCTGGCACAATTGTCGGGGTGGCGAGGGGTCCTTTACCTCAGCCAACATCTCTGGGCAGCGGGCAGGTGCCTCAGGGGCTCCACGGGCTGCTGAACTCTGCCACCACCAGTCCCGCCCGGGGCTCTCTGGCCGCGGGTTATTTCTGGCGCTTCCCAATCTGTGCCGCTCTCGCCGCGGGGTTTTTCTGTGGCTTTGCCCCGCCGGGCTGGAGGCAGTCCCAGCCTTTGGGGCCGGCTGCAGCTGTCCCGGCCGGTGCCAGCTCCTCCCCCCGCAGCACGGAGGCTCCGTGCCCGGTGCTACCCGGCGGCGAGGCCGGCTCGTCCTCCAGGCTTTCATGGCGCTGCTGGTTCTTGCTCACCGTGGGGCTGTGCCAGCCATGCCTGCCTGCGAGCTCGCCTTTGCTGGTTGACGAGGGGCGAGGGAAGTGCCCGTGGAGAGCAGCGGGCCACCATGGCGCTGGCAGGTGCCCTGGAGCGGCTGCAGGAGGAGGCCATTTGCCCCATCTGCCTGGAGTACATGAGCGAGCCGGTCAGCATCGACTGCGGCCACAACTTCTGCCGAGGCTGCATCGCCAAGCACTGCCAGGACAAGGGGCTGTGGGCCGACGGGCCATTCTCCTGCCCGCAGTGCCGGGCCTCCTGCCACCGCAGCGGCTTCCGACCCAACCGGCAGCTGGCCAACATCGTGGAGAGCATCCGCCAGCTGGGGCTGCGGGGCGGCCTGGGGCCCGAGCTGGAGCCGGGGACCCCCCTGTGCCCCCAGCACGAGGAGCGGCTGAAGCTGTTCTGCGAGGAGGACGAGGAGCCCATCTGCGTGGTGTGCCGGGAGTCGCTGCAGCACCGCCCGCACACCGTGTACCCCATCGAGGAGGCGGCGCACGTCTACAAGGTAGGGGGGGGTGAGGCACCGCGGTCCCTGTCCTGCCCCGAGGCACACTGGCACCGGTGTGCGGCCACCGGCACCCCAGCACACTCAGTGGCATCGCTGGGAAAGCAGAAGGAGGGACGGTGACCTCCCCCCCGCAGCCGTCCTCGCTGCAGCGATAAGGCTGGACCCGCCTTGTCTTCCACATTGTTGGTGGATCCAGGCTCACCCTGTCCGTCCAGCTCCGGGACGCAGCCTGGCTCCCTGCCCATTCACAACCCCTGGAGAAGCTGAGCCGGTGGGTTCCAGAGGACGTTTTGCTCCGATGGAGGGATGCTGGCACCCAAATCCCACATCCCAGCTATGATCCTGGCAGTGCCACCATCCACCCTTCACCCCAGTGTTGAAAGAGGGCTGTTGCTTTGGTCTCCAGTGAGGGAAAACATAGGGGGAAGCTGCGGAGCATGGAGAGGGTTAATGCTGTGAGCAGAGTGAAAAGCACAGCTGCTTTGTTCGGGTGCCAGTGCCTGGCACTGCCTGGCACTGGGTCAGTGTCTCCCCCCAGGCAGAGGGGACCCAGCCAACCTGCAGTGCTCAGCAGGTGCTGTTTGGGTGAGTTGAGCCCATTTTTCCTCTTTCCAGGTCAAACTCCAGAAATCGCTGGAGAGTCTTTTAAAGGAAGTGGAGGAGGTGAAGAAGCGTGAGTCAGCAGAAAGGATGAAAACCCAGGAGTGTAAGGCAGGTGCCTGTCCTTAATTCTTAAAGAATGAGCTTAAGAGATATCAGGATTTTTAAAAAAGCCACCCTGAAGGATCTTGTCTGGGACACAGATTTATCATTGTCTCCAGGCTGTGTCCCTGTGTTCTGCTGTCACATGTATGAGCAATGCTGGAAGCCAGGCTCTTTAACCATGTGCGGCTCTATAAAAAGATTTGCAAGGAGCAGCATGCCAGATTCCCTGGAATCATGAGGACTTTATGCTGGTTAAACAAGTAGACATGGGCTATTTTTTATTGCCTTTTGTTTTACAACATGTGCTTGAGTTCCAAGCCAGGCGTGAGCTGTGTGATGAGCTCTGCTCCACAGCAACAGGAACCAGAAGTGTTTTCATAAGAAAAAAAAAAAAGCTGAATTACTGCAACCCTGTCTCACTCCAGACAGTTCTGGGAAGAGCAGATGCCAGAAAACAGCTGCATTTCAAGTCTCTTGGGGTGAAAGCTGGGAAGTAAAAGTAACTGCAGAAAAGGAAATGAAACTGCTGGATGAGTTATCCAGCCATGAATTTGAGCAGATGGTTAGTCAGCTCTGGCAGGGAAGACAGGTTTCTCTGAACTCCCCTAGTTTTTCGCTCAACTCCCTTGCCTGTGGCAGTCCAGACAAGTGGGGGTGGGTTTTAAGGATGTTCCTATGAGCCCTCTCTCCCCATTGTGGGAGAGGGACAGAGATTGTGAGAGCTGTGTCACTGTCCTCTCATCTGCCTGCGTCAAGGCTCAGGGTCGTGGCTCAAGTGCCTCCAGTTTCCTCTGGTAGTGCTTTTATAGCAAAAAGAGCAAAAAGTCCCATGTGAATGGTGGGGGGAAGAGGCTGCCCTGGCTTATCAAGTCTTCATGACTCAGGTCCAAGTACTTGGATGGGGAAAAAAAAGGAGTTCAATTTCCTTTCCTTTATCTTTTTCATTCTGTGGTTTCCTGGCCCAAGCTCACTGCACAGTGTCTTTCTGCAGCTCCAGTTTTCCAGTCAGCTTTTAGGGATGAGGTGAAAAGCCCTAATGCACTGGCAGACCCTGCCAATTGCTGGCTCTTCACCTTGTAGTGAAACCTGGGGAGCCTCCTGGGCTTCTGCCTTTCCATCCCTCCACAGCCCCACGGCTTCCTTTACATGGCAGATAGAGACAGGACATGAGGGAACCGTCTTGAACTAAGAGAGGAGAGATTTAGATTAGATATAAGGAAGAAATTCCTCCATCTGAAGGTGCTGAGGCCATGGCATAGGTTGCCCAAAGCAGCTTTGGCTGCCCATCCCTGAAAGTGTCCAAGGCCGGGCTAGATTTGGTTTGAAGCAACCTGATCTAGTGGAAGGTGTCCCTGCCCATGGCAGGGGGTAGAAGCAGATGGTCTTTAAGATCCCTTCCAACTGAAACCATTCCATGATTTTATGACTTTCCTACCTCTTGCTCTTATCTGGGGATTTTCCCAGCATTGTCCACCTGCTCAATCCGGTTTATTAGCCTGGATTTGGCTGGAGGTATGAGTTGTAATAAAAACCTACACCTGAGAGCATTTCCCTCCAGCCCAACACACCCCAGACCTCTGGAGTCCAGCTGAGCAGAAATGCCCCAGGCAAAGTCCTGCTGCTGGTAAACTGAGGATGTGGAGTGGGAACTACAGTGAGCTGGAAGCACAAGTTTGCCTCTGGCTGGTTTTTAAATTCATGCACTTATGACAAAAATGCAGCGTTTTCCCAGGGCCTGATGCTGGGCATGGATGCCAGAGCATCCGGCTCTGTCTTGGCTGCCTGGATAAAGTTCACCCCATGAATCTTCTTATCCCAAGGAGACAGTAAAGAAAAAGCGGGAGAGGATTGTAAGTGAGTTTGGGAAGCTGCATCGGCTGCTGGCTGATGAGGAGAAGCTACTGCTCCAGAAGCTGGAGGAGGAAGAGAAGCAGATTCTGCTGCTGATCAATGAAAACCTGGCCCGGCTGGTGGAGGAGAAGTGCTTGCTGGAGGAGCTGATCGTGGAGATAAAGGGGAAGAGCCAGCAGCCAGCTGATGGGCTGCTCAAGGTTAGGCTTTGCCACCAGCACCACTGACTCAGTCCCAGTGCCTTTGTCACCTGGGTGGGTGGCTTGGCCCAGACAAACCCAGAGTCGTTTTTGTCTTCTTCTAGGACATGAAAAGCATCCTGAGTAGGTGGGTGATTTTTCCTGGTAGGTGCCATGATTATTCCGGGTAGGTACCCATGATTATTCCTGGCAGGTACCCATAGTTATTCCTGGCAGGCACCATGCTTGTTCCTCCTATTGTCCTGGATGCCTCCAGGCTTTGAGGCAGATGTTTGCATCTGTTCCACAACAGCCACCCCATCCTCCCAGCATCTGCTTTGGTCCTCATGGGATAGACACAGGAGGGACTGAGACAATCCCTCAGAGGGTCCAGCCTCTTTTTCCAGGGGCTCAGAGCCAAGGTCTTGCCTGGCTTGTGACTTGTGAGCTGCATCCCCTCCTAAGGGATGTGCTGCCCAGTGGCTTTGTTCCTTCCTTCCCCAGGCCTGCCACTGCTGCTCCCTGTATTGTTTGACTCTGATCTCATTTGGATTGCCAATGTGCAAGTAATTATCCCTAGTGCTCTTCCCAGCCAGAGCTCCAGGGAGGCGATGGGCAACAAAAGGGCATTGACCCCCCCCACCAGCTGGAGAGGGGCCATGGTGCAGGCTCTGGATACAGCTCAAGGGCATCCTTCCCTTCTCAGGTGTGAAGGGGTAAAGTTCCAATCCCCCAGAGCTGTGTCTGTGACCCTGAAGGAAAACTACAGCATTCCTGAGCGCTGCCTGGGCATGAGGGACATGCTGAAGAAGTTCAAAGGTGAGGGGGCAGCTCCTGGCACAGTTGGGCTCTGGTTTTCCTCAGTACCCTGGGGCACAGGGAGGTTTTTCCAATAAGCTTTGTCCAGCTGCTCTAAATTTGTGTACTGATGAGTTCAGGCTGGTTTCATGGTGGGAAGACCTTTGTTGTAGTCTTGGATGGATTGTGAGGGGACCCTGAAGCCCAGGATGTCCCTCGGGGGTTTCAGGTGCCATGTTGCCCGTGACCTCTTGCTTTCAGACCTCTTTCTGAAGCTGTGGAACTGCCCTCCTTGGCTTGGCTCTG